CAAAAAAGTATTGTAAAATAATATAAAAAAAATTTTTATCAATTGTGTAACGATTTTGTGACGTATCAACGTTTCCTAAACTGTATAAATTCATTTATAAAATCGACCAATTACGAGAAAGTTACCTTATAGAGTGCATATATACTTATGTAATGTAGATGATCTTTTGAATGACTCTAGAATGCTCTAATGAGGAACCTCCCATGCAGGCTTTGTCTTCTTTTGAAGATATCGATATTTTAAAAATTACATGAATTTATGAATATGAAATTAGTGTCCAAATATGTCATTCCGGAAATACAAAATTTTTCAGGGACATAAGAGGTGAACGTACTACGTCCGTTTGTTGCTCCAACATATGTTTGTACACCATAGATATCTACACTACAAATGTTGTATGATTACACAACTTTATCACCAGAAAAGTCCAAATTTATTTCTTTATCAGATTCTTCACAGCCTTTAAAAAGTAAAATCCCTTGTGTTATAGTTACATTTTTTATCAGAAGACACATTAGGATATCGTTCATAACCGTTTATAACTTTTTAACTGTACGCACAGAGCATAACAAATTTTTTTCTTTTTTTTTTCAAGGTTTTCTCCGTTTGAAATTTCACAAACTCTAAAGCCAAATTATTCATACTCTTGAATTATTGGCGGGAGAAACATAAAAAAACTTGATATTCTCACTATACGAAAAGTAGTTACTTTCGTTAACATTATAATTAAAAATAATATAAAATATTTTTTATTTTTGTACAAATTTGTAAACCTCTATCTCATAAGGATTTCTATTCTTACAATTATTTTTTGTTTAAAAAAGTTTGAAACTTTTTTATGCAACAACAACAAATTGACAAAATGTATGCTGCTAGTCCTGTTAGCAACGTACTTCCTCAGGACGTACAACGGCCAAGTGTAGCAACTAGTTTCTTGTATAAATTAACAGAATTAGCAGCTTACACTTCGGCTGTTGCTAGTGAAGCTTATTATACTTTGACATCTAGCAATGGAAAACTTGAGTTAGAGATCCCTATACCGACAAATAAAACTTATGGATCACAAGGACAGAATACTGACGGAAATGCGATGCAAATTAGTAACGATAATTCCGAGCTTATTAACACACACAATGTTGAGTCAAACGACAATGACGCGGTCCAGAAAACTAATAATAACTCAGTCCAGAAAAATAACAATAACTCAGTCCAAAAAAACGACAATAATGTGACAACCAGTCGAAAAATAAATTTTAGTGTTGATAAAAAAGATCAATGTTCGTGGACAACAAACGATAATGAAGAGGAACCACCGCCACCATATGATATTTCTTGGTCAATGGTTAGTTTCTTTTTTTGTAATCTTGTCATTTCAGTATTAAATAAATCTATTTTTTTAATACTTTTTATTTTCAATATTGCAGCCAACTCATAACAACGAAACGGATCAAACTTTATCAATCTCTACTCATAATTTATCAGACGCGCCTACTCTGTCCTCATCGCCGAAGAATATACAGTCTGAGACTCCACAAACTGTTTCTCCGATTGATATCTCTTCTACATCGTCATCTACTCCTGCTAAACGCAAGCAAATCCGTGTACGTCGTCCTCGACGATTACCTCGTCGTAAGTCTTCTTCAACTGATATTTTGGTTCAATCTAAAGAATCTAAAGAAGTTGATGATCAAGACGCGTTTATATCAAAAATAAATGAGAAACTTGTTGATATGATCGCTCGAGGTAAAGCTGCCTTAAAAAGCACCGTCTATGTTACTGATGCAGATGTGATGCTTGCTGAAGAAAAAGAACGTGAAGATCGCATAATGAAAGAACTTGGTCTTCAAACTCCGATGAATCGACGGGGTAGGAGGTTAACTTGCTCTTTTTCTGATTATGATTATTTCGGTGGTTCAATATCGGATTTCAGTAATTATTCTGCTCCTGAGTCTTCATCATACTGTGATTATGGTTACGGTTCTAGTAATAGCTATTCAACTCCGAATGAATATGTGAGTCATTCATCTCACAGTAATGGTTATACATCTCCGAATGAATATGTGACTCCTCTTCGACATCCATCACGTCATTCATCTCATAATAATAGCTATTCAACTCAGAATGAATATGTGACTCCTCTTCGACATTCATCCCGACATTCATCTCACAGTAATGGTTATACATCTCCGAATGAATATGTGACTCCTCTTCGACATTCATCCCACATGCACTATAATACTCCAACACAATATAGTTCTTATTCATCACACTCTGTTTCAGTACATTCACCTGCTTCGCCCAATACTGGTCTATATGGGGTTTATGTTCCCAATGTTGGTGGTTACGTACAAAATACGAATTTTGGATCAAATGCAAGTCATTTTGGCCAAAATGTTTCAAATGTTGGTGTTTATGGTCAAAATGTGGGCGGTTATCATAGGTCAAACTCTGTTGGATCCCCCGTGTCAAATTCTAATAATTATGGTTTCAATCTAAGGTTTGGTTCAAATGGATTGTATAATAATAATCAGGAATACTTTTATTAGATAATTACCATTACATTACAATTAATAGACATAGATGATTTTATATAAAATTATTACTATTATTCTGAAAAAAGTTTGGCTTTATTTCTGATAAGCACGGCTGGGACAATTTTGCATCACGGCGAATTTACCAAATATTTGATCCCCAATTTAGCTTTTAGTTCCCAAATTATGTATTAATCAATTAATTCTAAACGCCGAAAAATTTTTTGGACCTCTGATCTATATTGATAGCGCGTCTAACCCATTATTCTCACTATCTAATCCATATAACCCATCTTGACGCATCTTATTAGACATAGAATTTATAATAATGCACTTTTAACATGGGGTTGATTAGTACAGTCAAATATTAGTCAAAGTTCCATATTTGGGGTATTTCATAAATTCGCCGCAAAGAAGAAGAAGAAGAAATGCTTCATTATAAAAAAACTCCGGGTGGGCATTGGAAAAATTTTTTTTTTTTTTTGGAAAAGTCTGACGGGTGGGTTTTTTTTTTAAAATTCATATGAGAAACCTTGTATTGTTTTAATTTGAGAAGGGTGGTAAATTCTTTATATTTTTGGGCTCCTTCGGTTGATGTTAATAGGTTAAATAATATAATTTTCAGTCCCTTATTACTCAATATAATCGTTAGAAATTAAAAAGCCTTTAACCACATTTCTTGTCAAATATTTTCTCCCCTTGTCATTTTAATGTACAACACTTGTTTATTAATTTCGAAATATGATCTCATTCCATCTTTTTAAATAATGTTTCCTCTTTTCTTTTGTATATATTTTTTTACTAAAAAAATTTTCGTTAAATTGCAGTTATCTTAACTGTTGGTCGTTTTAAAACTGATAAATAAAAATTTAAATTCAAAATTTTTTTGTAACACTAAATAATTGTAACGTTGATAAGTAATGGTGATTTTAATAAATATAGGGATTAATAGTTGTAGGCTTAATAAATATGGGATTTCTATCGAGAGAATTGATATTACAAATTACGCTGTCGTTATTATATGACGGCATTATATGAGTAAACCTTGTAAAAAAAAAAGTTTACTTGGCGTTAGTCCCAGAAGGTAAAAACATGTGATTAAAGTTTCGAATATCTCAAATCTCTCGGGACTAAGTCCGATACGACGAAAATTAAATTTAATTTAGAAATTATATCAGATTAATAGTTAGTATCTAAGGTACGTGCGTACGTACGTAGTGATATCACGGCAAATCATGAATAAATTCGACGAATTTTTATTTTACTCGAAAAGCATAAAATAATAAAACCGCCGAATTTAGTTATGTGGTTGCTTAAATGCTACTGTGCTGATCTGGTCACCTGCATCATACTAGTTATCTGTATACGTATATTCTTTTTTTTCTTATCAGGAAATGAATCAGATTTATAAAATAGTTTTTATATAAGTAATGCAAGAGGCAGTGATCCTAGCCGATCATTATTTATTGACTGCTTAACTGGTTTAGTCGATTAGTCGTTTAGTCGATTTTATTCGGAACGTTCGGAATTTAACAAAAAAAATTTGGCTTCGATCCTATTTGTATTTTAGGCCATACAAATTTAATTACTTGGTTTTCATAACATGAAATTTTAAAAATAGACCCGGCCGGCCGGCTTTTT